TATGACTAACTTTTGTTTAATTAATATATTTTTCTTTTAATTCTAATTTGTACCCAACTATATATCCACCCCTAGCTATTGGCCCACCCTATGTCCCACAGTGAAGTGTTTCACAGCAACAGGGACTTCAATGGTGGCAACAGTGACATTGACACTAACATTAGAAAAAATGCTAGTGACATACTTAACTGGTAGTTACATGATGACTTTTCTATTTTATTATGCTTTAAACATATTTTTATCTATATATAAAAGTAATCACTTTTAAGAAAGAACTCTTGTTTTTATTCAGTCCAAATATATTTATTTGGACTAAATGACCAATAATATAATAATATTAATGTAATAATCCCGTACTGTATAATATTTAGAAAAAAATCCATTTTTTATTTGGTCCAAATAGATTTTTTTTAGATGAAAAAATAGATTTATTTATGGTAAGCTGACGTGCGTTTGGTTGTCCATGAAATGATGAAATTTATCTTCTCGCGGATTATTGGTGGTGGGTGCAAGTTCTATCTATTAAGAATAATAAAAGTATAAAACTATTAGAACTAATATACTACTACGTATTTAGTCTATCGGCATTTAAGAAAAATTAATATACTACTACGTATTTAGGGGTGTTTGGAACTGATTCTGCTTCTACTTCTTTTTAAAGTAGAAGCAGAATCAGAATCAGTTTTCAGAAGCTGGTATCCCCTAACTTCTAAAAAAACTGATTCTGAGTATAAATTAGATCATCAGAAGTGCTTCTGGAATTTCATCCAAACACTCCAGCTTCTGCTTCTGCTCCTGCTCCGTGAAGGAGCAGAATCAGTTTTGAGAATCATATCTAAACATCCCTTAGTCTATTGACGTTTAATAAAAGTTTATTGGGATCCTGTTCCCCAATCCCACTCCTCAATACATAGGTGCTTTCCTAGTCTTTCAATAATAAATTTCAAGTTAGATTTGAATGAGATTTTAACATGTTACTTCTATTCTAAAATAGTAATGTCAACTCACCATAAAATATTAGGTCATCACAGTATATCCAATTATTCACTATTAGTATTTTTTCAAAAAATTCCTATTCAACCGGTCAGAACAAGTAACTAATACTCCCTCCGTCCCAATTTGATGATCTCATTTCTTTTGGGCTCAAAGATTAAGGAAGTGGTTGAAAAGGTAAAAGTTGTGGTTGAGATTTGAATAGAAAAAGGTGAAATGATGTGGACCACATATTTCTTTCCAAAAAGGGAAATGAGACTATCAATTTGGGACGGCCCAAAAAGGAAATATAGGATCATCAAATTGAGACGGAGGGAGTAAGGCAGAGTACAACAATATAATATAATGTACAAAAAGCAAACAACGACGTATATATCATGGAGTAAATATCATGGAGTAATATTGTAATAATGTATACGGAGTATATTAAACAAATTAAAGTAATAGGGCAGTGCCACTTTTCCTTGCATAATATTTTTGTTTAAATTTTTGCATGGAAATGAGTTAAAAAGGCATATTCCCCATTAAAGAAGAGATTGATTAGATTGCAGGGAATTAGATTCTTCCTCCATTAAACCCCACACTGCACCACTCTTTACACACTACAGCGCATGGGCATATCATGCACCATTATTTTATGAGATTTCATCAATATATATAATGTTACATATTTCGGCATTTCCATTATATTTTAATAATAAAGTTTTGGAAAAACTGTTAAATAAGCCCCATAAATATATATAAAAAGTCAATTAAACTCTCGAACTAAAAAAAACACTCAATTAAGCCCACCAACTTGACAAAAGCCATCAATTTTAGATTTTTGACCGTAAAGATCAGGTTATCCGGTCATATGCCAGAATGCCAGATGTGGCTATCCATGTGGATTTATTTTTTCTTTTTCTTTTTTACCAAAATTTAAATGCATTCTATAATTTAGAGTACAAAATGTAGGATAAAGACAAAACGAATAATAACTCAACAGCAAGCAACATAGTCTAATATCATTACTTGAAAACTTTTAAAAGTCAATAGGAAACTACACTTCACAGTCTAGTGAATGCCTTCTTTCCACCACTGGCAGAACCGGCACGGATCACCTTCAAAACATTGAACCTAACGGTCTTGGATAATGGTCTGCATTGACCAATGGTAACGTAATCACCCTCTTTCACACGGAAGCATGGTGACACGTGTGTAGCAATGTTTGAGTGCCTTTTTCAGACCTCCAATACTTCTTCACAAATTGGAGGTAGTTGCGGCGAACAATGATTCTTCTGTTCATCTTAGCACTATGGCAAGTACCGACAAGGATACGACCTCTAATAGAAACATTTCCCGTGAAGGGGCATTTCTTGTCAATGTATGCACCTTCAATAGCCTCATGAGGAGTTTTAAAACCCAAACCGATGCTCTACCAGTAACGGTTGCCTCCCTTTCCGGGCCTCTTGCCCTTACCTGTTTTCTTTGAGATGAGAAAAACACCCAGCTGCTTCAAGAAAGCGTTCTCAGTCTGCTCAACCATCCTTGCAGATGAAAATGTGGAGGCAGAAGATACGAAGGAGGAAGCAGTTGCTTCAACAGCCAAAAACATTGGATTTTTTTTCTTTTTCTTTCTTTTCATCCTCTCCACAGCCCTCCTGTATGAACATTTCTTCATTCTTGGATTTTTTGTTTCTTTCTCCCAACCATTCTGCTCCCCCTTTTGTTTCATCTTGTAGCTACCTCATTGTAGTTCATCGTTTTCATGCTTAATTTTTTAAGTTAGGAAGAGCGACGAAGACTTGAAGAGAGCGGCATGGCGGCGGATATCTTGAGCTTCCTGCTGGCTAATGCGACCTCGTTGGTGCCGGTCTTCGTCTCGAATGAAGAGAATTAGCTCGAGAAGGCGGCCACAACGACGAGGATGAGCTCAAAATTCCGGTGTATGTTTCTACACCTCCGGCGATGAAAAAAGAAAGAGAAAAGAAGAAGCAAGGGAGTGAATGGCGGAAGAAAAAATGTCTTAGGAGGAGAAATGTGGTAGGAGGAGGAGAGAAGTAAAACAAAACGAACAAGAAAAAACAAAAATAAATAAATAAATAAACATGTGGATAGCCATGTCATTATTATCACCGGGTAATCGGATCTCCACTGACCTCCGCTTTGCTCTGGTTGGTACTTAATTTTACCAAAGGCCGACCACCACTAGACCTCATTCGCAGGTTTTTCGAATCCTTTAACTTTCACTCTTGTACGATTGGTTTAATTTGCTTTACGATAGGGCTATCATTATGAACTTCACCTGCAAGGAGGAATACATTCGATGTGGATGCAGGAACCCTTGGTATATTGGCAGCAAACCGATGTCCATTTCCAAGTGGTATCCAGGATATCACCCCGAAAGGGAATCATCATATGTCCCTTGTTGAATCAGTTTCCCTCACCTCCCTTTCCATTTATTTGATGAATCTTTCCTTTTCGAGCTCTGTTCCACTTTTGGGCAACCGCTGAAATGTGATAAACCCACACTGGACAAAAAGAGACCAACTGTGGCTCGCGTCCAGGTGGAGATTGATCTTTTGAAACCCATCCCAGATAGGATATGGCTAGAAGACGAAGGCTATGAGCCCTTCTGGCAACCTATCAAGGTGGAAGAGACACTGCCTTCCTTCTGCAAAAAATGTTTTCATTTCAGACACACTAAACATAGTTGTCTTAGGATGGCTAAAGATATTACTGTTCCTCTTGATCCAGGAGGTCCTTCAAACCCTCCTGGAAAAATTGCTACTAACCCCCCAACTCAAGCTTTCAGTGTAGGTACCAATAAGGCCGGAACTAAAGATATGACATATTCCACCAAAGATCTTACTGCTTGGCAGAGAAAGGATAAGGCCCCTATTGGTAAAACATTTAATTCCTCTATATCAGCCAATGATGATATCCCCCTCATCCCCCATCCCCCCTTGCCGAAAAGCAACAATGATATTCTGGAGTTGCTTTCTCCTGTCCCTGGGGCACCAGTCAATGAAGTTATCACTGATATTACTCCAGTTTTGTGCCCTAATATTCCTGAAAATGTGGTTGGTGATACCACCTCCATTGGTGTGCAGTCGCCCCAAATCAATGATGTAATTACTAATATTACTCCACTTTTGTGTTCTAATATTCCTGAAAATGTGGTTGGTGATACCACCTCTGTTGGTGTGCAGTCGCCCCAAATCACCCCTCCCCTAATAATAACAAACCTCCCCCACCTGAGGCTAATTTAGAGGACTTAAATGCGGTCAAAACAACCAATCAATTTGACTCTCTGTCTAATCCGGGGGAAGAGGGTTGTAACACCGTCCCCAAATGTATTTACTTTTATGTAAATGATGTAATAAACCTTATGGAATGATTTATGAATTTACGAAGTTGTAAATTTTTATTTATTCTTTCGCGTGAATAGTAAATTGCACGTGGGACCCACACCGGGAGCGGGGGCCGCCCGATTTTCCCGAGACCATACATTTTATTCATCATGGTCTAGATAATAAATATGTAGTGGTGGATATTTCATTTGGGCCATGGAAAGGCCCGGAGTTGACCGATTGGTCAAAAGAAGCCCAAATTACCAGTACTGGTAATTTAACTGATAACAGCCCGAACTGAATTTCGGAGGCTTATAAATTAAAGTTGGGGAATGTATATTCATTATACATGTCATAATGAGTAAGAGCACATAATATATTTTATTTGACCCGATAAAATAAAATATATTTAAAACAGTCCGAAAAATACAACTTTCGGGACCGATTGTACACTTCGGGACACAAAGGGTTGACCTCCCACATGAGTGGGGGCCAACCCACGAATTTGGAAACTCAATATGGGGTGTTGGCCGCTGGAATGGGAATAGGAAGGTGGGAGGTGTTGGAGATTGAATGGAAAGGCATCAAAAGTACCTAAGGTGGACCCTCATTTTGCACTCATTGGATTAATGAGACAAAAGTCCATTCTCATCCCCCTCCCCTCTTCATTTTCGGCCAAGCTACAGCAAGAAGAGAAAGAAAACTCTTCTTCTTCCTTCCTCCATTGTTGAAGAGAGCTCATCAAAGAAGAATCACCCAAAAAGGAGCTAAAGTGCTAAAAGTGTGAAATAATTAAGGTAATGACCTTATTATAACTTTTCTTTATTTTTCTTCTACCATATGAAGTATATAGCATATGAAGAACCTTTAGTATGGTTCCATATGCTATAAGTATGGATTCATGGGTTGGAAGGTGGTTCTACGTCCAAAAACGGACTTAGAAGCCAAAACGACCGGTTCACCGGAAAATAACCTTTTAGAGGTTATTTGTATTAATATGGGTTTTATGATTATAAAACCTTGTTAGGCACTTGTAAAGGGTATTTCAAGTGATTTCACAAAGTTGGAAAAGTCGCCGGAGTTGTCGCCGGAGTTGACCAAAAGACGCCGGAGTTTCACCGGAGTTCAACCAAGAAGGGTGGAACTTCATAACACTAGTTCAAGGTGAGTGGACGGCTTAATATCTTATAACTCTTGGGTTAATTATGAGATTACCTAAATAAATGTTATATGAGTTCATAATGATGTTTAAAAGATATTTAAACATGTGATTAGCCAATAGGGTTAAGTTTGTATAAAAGAAATAAATGATTTATGCATGGAATATGATATGAGGAATTACATAAAATCCATATTTGTTTGAAAGGTATAAGGAACACCAAATGAACATTATCAATTTAATTACATGATGATTAAGTTGATAAGTGTAAGACTTGAAATGGCGGTCAACGACACCGTTGACCGGTGGATAATGGATTAATTAATATCGGTTGATATTAGTTAGTTATACATTTATAGAATCGCATGGTTTTGCATGGATTGTGATACATAAGCTTTATGTATTGAATTAGTTATGAGTAACTAAGTGTGATATAAACTCTATCTAGGTTGATAGAAGGTTGATCATAGGAAAATATTTTGGTGGAGGACCCTAGTACTCAAAAGTACTTAACACTCAAAATTTGGTGGAGGACCCTAGGACTTAAAGTCCTTAACACTCGGATTATAAATTGGTGGAGGACCCTAGTACTTAAGAGTACTTAACACTCAAACTTGGTGGAGGACCCTAGTACTCAAAAGTACTTAACACTCAAAATTTGGTGGAGGACCCTAGGACTTAAAGTCCTTAACACTCGGATTATAAATTGGTGGAGGACCCTAGTACTTAAGAGTACTTAACACTCAAACTTGGTGGAGGACCCTAGTACTTAAAAGTACTTAACACTCAAAACTTGGTGGAGGACCCTAGGACTTATGAGTCCTTAACACTCGCAAACCGGTGGAGTACCCAAGGATTATGATCCTCAAAACTCATAGATTATGATATTGAAATAGGGACAAGGAGGAGTCCTATACACTCATTGGTATATGGGTGGGTTGGGGTTTTTAGTCAAGAATATTGACTATTACTATTCTTCCCAAATAAAATGGTGATCTACGGATCGGATATTTTCCAAGTATATATTTATACTAATAAGTATTTCATAACTTGGGGGAAAGACTATCTATTTAAGTATCACCCTATGTTTGGGTCTTATACTTGAAACGCTAGTTATTCTATATTTAGCCTGCTACTCGCTCGGTACTTGTACTGACCCCTTCGGGGGGCCCCACCATTTTCAGGTTGAAGCTAGGGCTTGCTACTTGCACCTTCTCACGGGTGGTATCAAATCAGGAAGACGTGGTTCGTGCTTCCTTATTTTCTTTCAAACTACCGAACACTTGCTCATGGATATTTGTTCTACCATAAATTATTTTTGGGGCTTGCATGCCCATGTTGTTGGCCGGTTGTGGCCTATGACTTACCGTTGAATATTTTCCGCTATTCATTGGTTTAAATGTGATGTTGTTATGTATGTTTACTACTGAGTATGGATGGATTGTTTTCTCGAACGCCTTGTGTAATTGAGTGAGGTTGACTCGTGGGTGACGTCACTTAGTTATACGGCGGTTGTACACGCGCTTGGATTGCGGTCTGGGGCGTGACAATTAAGTGGTATCAGAGCCATCTCAGTTCTAAACTATATAATCAACCTCTCACAAAAGATTTTGCAAAAGAGATTTTACCGAAAACCATGAGCATTGTATTTTGACGTTTATAGGACTATTGGTGCTTAAGTTGCAAGGCCTCTAATTGTTAAGATGGTACCCTTAATAATTGGTATGGTGGTGACTTGGGCCAATACGTGTCTGTAACGTTCTTCCGTCAATTGACATTTATAGGAGTCTAATGACTCATCCATATTTCTTTCAGAAATGGAGGGCAGGCGAATGCGGACCAGGAACAATCCGAGGGGGCAGGCGCCGGTAACATCCCAAAGGGGAAGCCGGGCTGCATCTCGGGGTTCAAGAGGAGGCCGTGGAGGCCGTGGAAGCCGTGGAGGTCATCAAGCTCAAACTGTGAGTGATGGCCATGTAAGCTCGGTGTATGAAACCAACACCGAAGACTACGACTCTACATATGTTCCGGAAACGGAGCACGAGGAGACCCCATATGATGGGGGTGACACATACACCGATGATGATGATGAAGAGAGTGATGCCAAGTTCGCCCAAATGGGCGAATTGCTTGAGTGGTATCAAAAAGAAAAGCTGAGGAGAGACCTTAGGCGCCAAGCAAGGCGTGGCTCTCGCGGTGGTTCGGGTCAAGGAAGCCGGGGAGCTTCAAGAGCCACTCCCGTGGCGCCACACGATGGGCGTGAAGGAGGGTTTTGTGTGAGAATCTCCAAGTACCTCAAGGAGGCTAGGGCCTTGGGGTGTAAGTCCTTTGACGGCACCGGTGACATTACCGTTGCCGCCGATTGGATAAAGAAGGTGAAGGATGCGGCAAAGGACATGCAAATTTCACCGGACGTGAAGTTGACTGTTGCTTCACGGCTGCTTGAGGGGATAGCTTCCACGTGGTGGGAGAGTGTGGAAGGAAAATACCATGGGGAGGTCTCATGGTTGAACTTTGAGCAGGAGTTTTATGACCAATACTACACTGACTATGAGAAAAATGTCAAGCGTAGGGAGTACACCAACCTCAAACAGAAGGAGGGTGTGTCTGTTAAACAACTGGAGCAAGATTTTAGAACCTTGGCTAGGTTCTTACCGGAGTACGCGATCAATGAGGACCGCATGTCGGAGCACTTTTGGGATGCCTTACTCTTGGACATCCGTGATCGGGCTACGTACTCACGCCACATGACCTTTAGCGAGGTGGTGGAGCAGGGCCTTCTTGGGGAGGCTCAATGGAATGAGAGAAAAGAAAGAGACGCCGAGGAGGCGAAAAAGAGAAAATGGCATAATTCGGGGCCGCCCGAGCAAGCACGGAAGAATCACCACGGTGGGGGTGGGGGTACGTTCAAGGCGCCGGCACCACCGGCGAAGAAGAACAAGGATGCTCGGTGGCACGCATCCTCCTCTCAAAATACGGGGCCTCCTAAGTGTGCCAACTGTTCAAAGAACCACTTCGGGAAGTGCAACGCACCCCCGAGGTGTTATCGGTGTGGGAACACGGGCCACATGAAGGCCAATTGCCCACAATTGGGGGGAGGAGGAGCTCCGGGATCCGGAGGAGGAACCACGACGGGAAGGAACCGTGCGGGGCCGTCAAACGGCGGCACGGGAAGAGGCGGCGCATCCACAAGCCATGCCGCATCCGTCAACCAAGGTGGGACCCAAGCCCGAGTGTACTCGATGACCGAGGCGGATGCGAGAGCAAACCCGGACTCCGTTGCAGGTAATACACGTATTCCCATGTATTTCTAGGCTTACTTTGATCATATACATCGTTGGGAGTGAGTGCGGGCCACCCCGGGGTTGAACCGGGGGAACTTCGGACAACTTTGGCCTGCTAGGACCCAGGCACGATCGTGCCTAAGGCAGGCACGATCGTGTCTACAGGCCAGTAGCTATCTGCGGTTTTTCCCAACCCAGGCACGATCGTGCCTAAGGCACGCACGATCGTGTCTACGGGTCAGTGGCGATCCGCGTTTTTCCAGCTCAGACACGATCGTGCCTAAGGCACGCACGATCGTGTCTACGGGTCAGTGGCGATCCGCGTTTTTCCAGCCCAGACACGATCGTGCCTAAGGCACGCACGATCGTGTCTGCAGTGCAGTAGCTCCCTGGCTTCCCCCCGAGCCAGGCACGATCGTGCCTACCCCAGGCACGCCGTGCCTGGCACCCAGAATGCCAAAAACCGAGTTTTTCGCACCTTTTCGCGACGTTAAGACCTTTTCTTGATCAGTAAGGTGGGTGTGAACATTGTAACCTTCTTTAAATGAGTAAGGAGGGTAGGAAAGATGTCTTACATGGTTCATGAATGTAGGGACATTAAAGATCAATGGTAGGCGTGCGAGGATCCTCATCGATACCGGAGCACAACGCTCATTTGTGAGTGAGGCGTTCGCCGGGGGCCTGGACGTGCCATTGGCACCTATGACGCAAACGTTGCTAGTCTCCACACCGTTAGGGGACGATGTGGAGAGAAATCATTACTATCCATCATGTGAGGTGGAAGTGACGGGTCAACCTTTGACTTGTGATTTCGTACCTCTAAGCATGTTGGAGTTCGATGCAATCCTAGGAATGGATTGGCTTGAGAAGCACCATGCTCGAGTAGATTGCTACACCAAGGTGTTGGAGCTCGAGGATGAGCAAGGAAACATGCTACGTTTTGAAGGAGATCGGGGGAAATCTAATACTTGTATCATATCCGTGATGAGAGCACGAAAGATGATGAGGAAGGGATGCCACGCATACCTTGCTTACGTGGTAGATGATACGAAGAAAGAAGTCGACATCAAGGATGTTCGAGTCGTGTGCAAGTACCCGGACGTCTTTCCCAAGGACCTACCGGGGCTTCCACCCGATAGAGAGATTGAATTTGTAATCGAAGTGGAGCCGGGAACCAAACCCATTTCGATTCCTCCTTATCGAATGGCACCGGCCGAGCTCCAAGAGTTGAAGGTCCAACTACAAGAATTACTGGACAACGGGTTCATCAGACCCAGTCATTCACCGTGGGGGGCACCCGTACTCTTCGTGAAGAAGAAGGATGGTACACTAAGAATGTGTATTGACTACCGACAATTGAACAAGGTCACAATCAAGAACAGGTATCCCTTACCGAGGATTGATGACTTGTTTGACCAACTTCGGGGGGCAATAGTGTTCTCGAAGATTGATTTGAGGTCGGGGTATCATCAGTTGAAGATCAAGGAGAGCGACATACCTAAGAGTGCATTCCGCACTAGGTATGGTCATTACGAGTTCCTTGTAATGTCATTTGGTTTAACCAACGCACCGGCGGCATTCATGGACTTGATGAACCGGGTGTTTAGTGAATACTTAGATCAATTTGTGATAGTATTCATTGATGATATCTTGATATACTCCAAGAGTGAGGAGGAGCACGAGCATCATTTGGGGCTTATACTTGATCGGCTAAGGGAAAAGCAACTCTTTGCCAAGTTCTCTAAATGCGAATTTTGGCTCAAGGAGATTGGTTTTCTCGGTCACGTCATATCCGGTTCGGGCGTAGCTGTGGATAACGCAAAGATAAAAGCTATCATGGATTGGGAGAGACCCAAGAATGTGAAAGAGATACGTAGTTTCCTTGGCTTAGCGGGATACTATCGTAAATTTGTTGAAAAATTCTCCGTATTGGCGTCTCCATTAACGAAGCTCACAAAGAAAGGGGCCAAGTTCATATGGGACGACAAGTGTGAGAAAGGGTTCCTTGAACTGAAGAAACGACTTACCGAAGCACCAGTCCTTGCCCTACCCATACAGGGGATAGGGTATGACATTTACAGCGATGCTAGCATCCAAGGGCTTGGATGTGTACTAATGCAAAACGGTAAGGTGATTGCCTATGCTTCTAGGCAATTGAGAAAACACGAGGTGAACTACCCTACTCACGACCTAGAGTTGGGGGCGGTAGTGTTTGCATTGAAGATTTGGAGGCATTATCTCTACGGGGAAACGTGTCACATTTATACCGATCATAAGAGCTTGAAGTATGTATTCACTCAAAAAGAGTTGAATATGACACAAAGGAGATGGATGGAGTTGATCAAGGACTATGACTTGATCATCGACTATCATCCCGGAAAGGCCAACGTAGTGGCCGACGCACTGAGCAGGAAGAGTACGTCAGGGACGTTACTTACTTGTCTGCAGGCATTGAGGGCACGCGTGGAGGTGTCCACGTGCGGGGCTCTCATTGCTCAATTTGAGGTTAGGCCCACCCTATTGGGCGAGATTAGTCGAAGTCAGGCCATGGATGAGGAATGTCAGAAGATCCGTGAAAGGATCCTTGCGGGGCCCGTTGAGAACTTCCGGGTACGTGATGACGGTCTGTTATTGTTTAAGGATCGTGTGTGCATACCAAGGAATGAGGAACTCCAGAAATCTATACTTGAGGAGGCTCATTCTTCAGCTTATGCTATGCATCCAGGAGGTACTAAGATGTACCGAGATTTGAAGGAAAGTTACTGGTGGTCAGGTATGAAGAGAGACATTGCTGAGTATGTGAGTCGGTGCCTTACTTGCCAGCAAGTTAAGGCAGAGCATCAGCACCCGGCAGGGCTGTTGCAGCCACTCACCATCCCAGAGTGGAAGTGGGAGCACGTGACCATGGACTTCGTGGTGGGGCTACCACGAACAGTGAACAACTATGATGCAGTTTGGGTAGTGGTTGATAGGCTCACCAAGAGTGCACACTTTTTGCCTATCAACATTACTTATCCTCTTGAAAGATTGGCCAAGCTTTACACGGAGGAGATTGTGAGATTACATGGAGTCCCGATATCCATTGTCTCGGATAGGGATCCACGATTCACATCCCGATTTTGGCCAAAGTTTCAAGCATCGCTGGGTACTAAACTGAAGTTTAGCACAGCTTTTCACCCACAGACGGATGGACAGTCCGAGCGGGTGATACAGATTTTGGAAGACATGCTTAGGGCATGTGCTTTGGAGTTCCAAGGAAGTTGGGACAAGCATTTGGCCCTAGTGGAGTTTGCTTATAACAACAGTTATCAAGCAAGTATCGGCATGCCTCCATATGAGGCATTGTATGGGAGGAAATGTAGAACACCGTTGTGTTGGGACGAGGTTGGCGAGGCCAAACTCGAAGGGATAGAGCTGGTTGAGATTACCAAGGCCAAGGTAAGGATCATTCGGGATAGATTGAAGGCTGCTCAGGACCGACAGAAGAGTTATGCTGATAAACGGCGGAGACCGTTGGAGTTCGAAGTCGGTGATGAGGTCTTCCTAAGGATTTCTCCTTGGAAGGGCATCATTCGATTTGTATCGAGGGGAAAGCTTAACCCCTGATACATTGGTCCATTTGAGATCCTTGAAAGGATTGGAGCCGTGGCTTATCGTCTCAAGTTAACGCCGGAACTTGAGAAGATACATGATGTGTTCCATGTATCAATGCTCAAGAAGTACATACGGGATCCCTCTCATATTCTTGAGAAACCGCCAGTAGAGATCCGTGAGGATTTGCAATATGCGGTAGAGCCGGTGAAGATAGTGGGTCAACAAGTGAAGAAACTTAGGAATAAGGAGATTCCTATGGTAAAGGTTCTTTGGAGGAGTGATCGAGTCGAAGAAGAAACATGGGAGACCGAGGTCTCAATGAGGGAGCAATACCCGTTTCTTTTCGATTAGACACACGGATTTCGGGGACGAAATCCCAAATAAGGGGGGGGTGAACTTGTAACACCGTCCCCAAATGTATTTACTTTTATGTAAATGATGTAATAAACCTTATGGAATGATTTATGAATTTACGAAGTTGTAAATTTTTATTTATTCTTTCGCGTGAATAGTAAATTGCACGTGGGACCCACACCGGGAGCGGGGGCCGCCCGATTTTCCCGAGACCATACATTTTATTCATCATGGTCTAGATAATAAATATGTAGTGGTGGATATTTCATTTGGGCCATGGAAAGGCCCGGAGTTGACCGATTGGTCAAAAGAAGCCCAAATTACCAGTACTGGTAATTTAACTGATAACAGCCCGAACTGAATTTCGGAGGCTTATAAATTAAAGTTGGGGAATGTATATTCATTATACATGTCATAATGAGTAAGAGCACATA